GGCGGACGACACAGAGGCTGCAGCAGGGGGTTAAAAACAGCAGAAGCAGTGAGGAAGGAGCAGGGCTGGGCGGGGGTTGGTCCATTGTACATGAGATTCATGTGACAGCTCTTAACAACGGCACTGATTTAATGTGGAAGCATAGGACTCTCCCATGGTCTAATAAACCATCTGAAAGGGGGTTATGGTGGGGCGCATCACCTTTGATTATGCAACAACCTTGATCTCATGTAAGGGAAGATGATCCCTCTGCCCAGGGTGTAGCCTTTAGTATCTTTTTCTCTCACAAGAGATAAAAGGGGAGGAAATGAAGTCACAGAGGTGTCCATGGTGCCACCAAGATGAAGGGCAGGAGTAAAATGCACATTTATACTTACATCTCTGAGGCCCCTTGACACCAGGGAAGGCCAAGACACATGGAGACCTCCTCCAAGGATCTCCATGCCTGGGATACAGAAGGAGACGTGGACCTTCATCCAGGACCAACAGAGACAAAGCCTTTCCTGAATCTGTGGTAGAACTCGCTAAGTGTAGGTGAAGGTTTAAGAAAGTACAATGTTGGATGTACACCCAAGTTTATTGCAACTTTGTTCACAATAGCAAAGAGTTGGAAACAACCCAAGTGCCCATCAACAAATGAATGGATAGAGAAGCTCTGGTATATTCACATAATGGAATACTATGCTACATTGAAAAACAAGGAACCCAAAACAACTATGAGATATCATCTCTCCCCAGGAAGAATACCAAAATTTAACAGAACAGCAAGTAACAAATGCTGGCAAGGTTGTGGAGAAACTGGAACCCTTATTCACAGTTGGTGGGACTGTAAACCGGTGCAACCACTGTGGAAGGCACTGTGGTGCTTTCTCAAAAAGTTGCAAATAGAAATACCATTTGACCCAGCAATTCCACTACTGGAAATATACCCCAAAGAGACCATAACTGCCACCCAAGCTGATATACGCACATCCGTGTTTATCATGGTTTTGTTCACAATAGTAAAGAGTTGGAAACAACCTAAGTGCCCATCAACAAACGAATGGATAGAGAAGCTGTGCTGTATACACACAATGGAATACTATGCTGCATTGAAAAAACAAGGAACTCATGCAATATCGTTCAAAATGGGTGAACCTGGAAGACATTATACTGTAAAACAATTAAAGACCTTTTCTTTTACTTTTTTTTCCTTAGTTCTTTTACTTTTCAAAAAGAAGAGTGTACTGGGGGGAGGGGTGGGCAGGAAGAAAAGTGCAACAATGAATGAATGGAAATCCAAAGTCTCTGTAAGTTTTCATTAAAATTAATAAAATAAAATTTAAAAAAAGAAAAACACAAGGAACTCATGAAATATCATACAAAATGGGTGACCCTGGATGACATTATGCTGAGGGAAATATCTCAGTCACAAAAGGACAAATATTTCATAGTGTCACCTTTGTAAAATGGGTCTGACATTGGGGTTGAGGGGAGACTGAGAGAGAGGGGATAAGTAATGTATACTGCGTTGAAACAGATGAGGGAGAGAACTGTTTAAAAGGGGTATATGATTAGGTATTATTGTTATGACAGGAGTCCAGAATGAAGGCTGCACAGTGAGTGGACTTGGGGGGAGGGAATGTATAACAAAGAAAGAATTTTTCTTTTACTTTTCAAAGGGAAGAGTGAACTGGGTGGAAGGGGTGGGTAGGGAGAACAGTGCAACAGTGAATGAATGGAAATCCAAAGTCTCTGTAAACTTTCATTGAAATTAATTTTTTAAAAAAAGAAAGTACAGTGTTGGGTGGGATATCAACTCAGAGAAAAGGCCAGTACCCAGGATTTGGGCATCATCCTCCTACACTGTGAGGGACTAGACTATCACTTGTGGCTTCTCTGTTAGAGCAGCACTAGAGGCCCAAGGCACTGCCTTTGATGCCCCTGATGATCTTTGATTTTGTAACTTTGTTTCTGTGCCAACCCTATCAGAATGCTGTATTCCCAACCATCCTGTGGATTGACCTCTTCTCTTTAAACTTGGACTTCTCCGTGATTTGGACCAGCTCTGGGCTTTGAAATGTCTTCATTTCACCTTTAAAGAATAGGTGCATTTTCGCTCTAAGACTGAACTTATTGTTTTAAAAGAGGGGATCAAAACCAGGGTTCAACAATGAGAAAAGCACATTTTAAGAAAACACGTGGTTCTTTGTGTTTTCAAAAAAAGTTTGACAGCAGAATCACTTGGAAAATCCAAAACCCTGTCCCACTTCCTCTTCTTTTTATGTCATTTAGTTTTGGTTTTCTTTTTAATTGCATATGGGAGGTGGCAGGAAGGGGGTGAGTTGTACCTCTGTTTTCTTCTCAGAAGAGATCTAGAAGGATTCTTCATGTCATAAAAGAGTTTTTGAATCTTTTCATCTGGAAAAATTGCAAATAGGAGAGGGGAAAGACTCCACTATACTTTCTTAAACCTTCACCTAACTTAGCAAATTCTATTATGTTTACTTAATCCTTCTCAGTGTCATTGTTAGGTGCTATTCAGTCAGCTTCACCTCATGCAATCTGATGTAAAACAGAAGGAAATCCTCCCCATCCTCTCCATCCCCACAACCTCTGCTGTGCTTAAATCCGTTGCTATAGTCACTGTGCTATTCTGTCTCTCTGAGGCTCTTCCTCTTTTTCTTGGACTTTCTGTTTTTCCAAGGATGATGTCCTTCTCCAGGAACTGATCCCTCTTAATAACTTTCCCAAAGTACATTAAATTAGTCTTCCTTGACAGATAACTAATGATTATGATTGTAATTCATTTTGGAATTGCTTGTGTGTGGGTTTCAAATGTGACAACTCATCATTTCCATATATTTTAACATCTGTCTCCTAGAGAAAAGGCTACTTTTCAGGACAATGCCCACACTTGGAAATTTAGGTTTGCTCAAAGTTCATGGGCTAAGAGCAAACAAGCAGTGACAACACAAGAAAGCATTTTACACCCTGTCTCCATGTCAGGCCCAAGTGTGGATCACTAGCATACAGGATCCAGTTGAGACATGGCCTCTCACGGAATATTATCCTGCCGTGCCAGTCATGCATCTCAGCTGGAAGGCTCCAGCACTCAATCATGTCCCTATCCTATCACACCCTCACTGGCCTCAGATGGGTCCTGCTTTATGATATTTTGTGTATCTGATCTGCTGTAAGAGCAGAGACACTCGGCCACAGGTCCTGGAATAGAAGCTCAGAGACAAGAACCTTCTTCCTGAACCACCACGGAGAGAAAGCCTTCCCTTAGAGCTGGTACCTGGGACTTGGACATGAAGCCTCCTAAACTGTGAGACTCATCTGTCAGTTTGCTGGGTTGGAGATTGATCTGGATATTTCAAATTTATTTTCAAGCTTGGGTATCTGTATTCTTGCTTTCTTGTCATTTTTCTAATTGGTGTAGCATTTGTCTGTCAATTTGCAGGTTTCTGTGATGCTAAAAGCTGTGCCACTGATGTGTCAACTGGGGGGGGGTGTCATTCATTGAGGGTAGGTTTTAGTGGAGCTCCCATATTAAGACAATCTAGGAAGCAGGATTGGCCATCCTCTGTTAAACAGATGACCTCTGAAAACCCTATGAACAACTTTAACACATTTAAAATATTAGAGGTAGAGCCCATATTGGAAGTCAATCAGAATGAGGAGAAATAGCAGCAAACATCCATTAAGAGTTGGAATATGGAGCAGATAACTATAAAAAGTGTGCTTTTCAGAAGATTTGTCTTATTTGGCAGTTGCTGTCTCACTTAACATTTCTGACATCTAAGAGGACTCTCCTCCCAAAAAGACCTCTCACCATGGCCCACCAAATTCCGTCCCTCACTCTAGAGCAGAAAAAGGAGCTCTCAGAAATAACCCAGTGTATTGCTGCAAGTGGCAAGGGAAGCCTGGCTTCAGATGAGTCTGTATGCAGCATGGGAAACCGTCTCCAGAGGGTCAAGGTGGAGAACACTGAGGAGAACTGGTGTCAATTCTGAGAAATCCTCTTCACCATGAACAATTCCATCAACCAGAGCATGGGGGTGTGATCCTTCGCTGTGAGACTATCTATCAGAAGGACAGGCAGGGAAAGTGATTCAGAACTATCCTGAAGGAAAAGGGCATTGTGGTGGGAATCAAGTTAGACCAAGGAGCTGTTCCCCTTGCAGGAACAAACAAAGAAACTACTATTCAAGGGCTTGCTGGCCTCTCTGAGTGCTGTGCTCAGTACAAGAAGGATGGTGCTGACTTGAGGAGAAGTGGAGTTTTGTGCTGCGGATTGATGATCAGTGTCCATCTAATCTTGCAGTCCAGGAGAATGCCAATGCCTTGGCCTGCTACGACAACACCTGCGAGCAGAATGTGTTGGCACCACTTGTTGAACTAGAGGTCATTCCTGATGGAAGTCATGACCTAGGACACTGCCAGTATATTACTAGGAAGGTTCTGGGTGGTGTCTACAAGGCCTTGAATGATCGTCATGTTTACCTGGAGGGCACACTTGTTAAGCCAAACCTGGTGACTGCTGGTCATGCCTGCACAAAGAGTGTACTCTAAAGATAGTGGTTATGGCTACCGTCACAGCTCTCCTGTACTGTTCCTGCAGCTGTTCTTGGCATCTCCTTCTTGTCCAAGTGCATGAGTGAAGAGGATGTTACTCTTAACCTCAACGCTATCAAAGCCCGGGAAACTAATCTTCTCTTATGGAAGGGGCTGTGGGTGTGTTAGGTTAGTTTTTATTTCTGTGCGTGCGTGTGTGTAAGGGCAAAACTTTAATGAAAAGCAGAAATGGGAGATGATGGGCTAGTTTTCGCGCGCGTAAAATGGCAGCAATGCTGTCGAGCCGTACCGAACTACAACTCCCAGAAGGCCACGCGGGTGTTTGGCCCTGCGCGGCCACCTTCGAACAGGTCACGTGGCGGCCGGGAGCCGGCTCACGAGACCAAACACGGGAGGCCTCAAGGCTCTCCCAGCCGGCTTTTCTGTGTCCTTCGCCGCCCATGGCCAACGTCTCCAAGAAGGTGTCGTGGTCTGGCCGCGACCTGGACGATGAGGAGGCGGCGCCGCTGCTGCGGAGGACTGCGCGGCCAGGGGCGCCTCCTGGCGAGGGGACGCCGCTGCTGAACGGCGCGGGGCCCGCGGCCGCCCGCGAGGTGAGGCTGGCCCCTGGGGGACACGGGACTTCTGATCGTCTGATTTGAGACCAGTGTGGCCATAGCGGGAGGCACCTCGGCGTTGCGGGGGTTGGAGCCTGTTGCTGCTGGGACTGCCTTTCCGGGAGAGCATTGGCTGCATGGCGGGCCTTGTGGGGTTGGAGTCTGTGGCTTTGACAAGTGAGGGGGTTGGACTGCCGCAGATCCCGGTTTGGGGGTGGGGGAGTTGTCGCCAGATTCATTCAGGAGGTCAGGTAGGAAGCCTGATAGAGCTGTGGTTAAAACATTCGGCTGCTAATCGAAACCTTTGAGCCCAGGGAGAAAAACCTAGCAGTAGGCTTCCCGGAAGATGACAACCTTATGGGACAGTTCTGCTCTGATATGTAGGGTCGTTGTGAATTGAAATGGACGCGATGGCAGTGGACTTTGGTTTGGTGGAATAAAGACCACGTTTTAAAGATAGGGAAGGGAGCACCACATAGGTCCGGGAACTTGCCCTGGGGTGGGGGGGGGTAATGGCAGAGCTGGGCTGAGCACTTGTTGGGTGCTGTCCAACTCATTTGGACCCTCTGAGACCTGGTGTGACAGAGTAGAACTACGCTGTTGAGTTTTCTTTCCTCACTCCCCATCCTGAAGAAATTATATTTACATTTTCGTGATTAGAGAGCTCTGGTGTTCAGGAATTTAATTTTAGGTGAAATTTTCTAAAACAGTTTAGTATGCATTTACACATTTTGTTTTGTGGCATTGGTTGCAATACCCTGAGTGTAATAAAACTTCCCACTTCCTCTTTAGGTTCCCTATTTCCGTTAGCCCTTTCCCCCTCATCCCTTCCTGCCTTCTGAGCCTTTTTTGTTTTGTTTTGTTTTTAATTCTTTCTTGTGACAGATGGATCTTTTCAGTCTTGTGTGGTTGGTTGTCCTCCTGTAGAATTTTCCAGGATTTAATCTTTATGGAAGCAGCACACTCAGTCTTTTTCCTATGGAATTGCCAGGTGGTTCTAACTGCCATTGTTCTCCTTAGCCACTAGGGCTCCTTAGCATGAGAACCTCCACCCTGGAATTCTAGGGTCTGGAGGAAGTCCCTAGTCAGATAACCAGAAAGGCTGGAGGGGCAGACGGCTCACCACGAGACTCTTAGCTGGTATTACGATTGTGTACAGGTGCTAGCTAGCTTACTGTCTGTCTTACCCTCTGCAGCCATAAAGCACATTCACTTTTTACCTTTCCAAAATGACTTTAAAGGAGACTTTTCTGCTCAAATGACTCTTTTGAAAATGAGTATTAAAACATGAACAGCTATGTTCTGTTTGGTTTGAATTTGGGGTAATTGAGTCTTAGGAAAGTGTAGCAGTTGAGAAGGTAGCTCTCCTCCTTCAGTGAAAGCGATGTGGGACCCAGCTGCCTCCCTTCTCTGAGAGATCAGTGCAGACCCTCCATTGGTCTTAGGGATGATGAGGTCAGTGCAGACCCTCCGTTGGTTAGGGGTGATGAGCATGGGTATGCCGTCTCCCTGAACACAGCCAAACATGACAAGCAAGTCATTATTAGTTGGAAAAGCAGTCAAAATTTGGAGGAGGATTTCAGTAACATTTAGTTCCTGTTTTGCTTGTGCATGTGCTTGTGAGAGAGAGAGAGAGGAACCCTGGTAGTGCAGTGGCAACATGCTCAGCTTGTAACGTATCCTTAAAAAATCTGCTCCCATAAAGCTTCACAAAACAGAAACTCAAATTCACTGCCATCAAGTTGATTTCAAGTCAAGACCACCCTCCACCAGATTTCAGTGGGCATGAATTTTAAGCAGGAGGAAACTGCCCATATTTCTTCTGAAAAGCAGCAAGTGGATTTGAACTGCCAAAGCCACTAGGCTTTTGGGTTAATGGTGCAACTTGCTACAGAGTACACCACTAGGGCTCTGTCCATAAAAATGATAGACTATTCTCTGTAAATGTTCATTAAAATTAATAAAATTTAAAAAAAATGATAGACTACAAAGCAGTATGGTGGAGCTGCTGTCATGTGTAGGATCCATATGAGTTATAATTCATAGCACCTGAAAGGGGGTGTGTGAGAAAGAGATTCTGAAAAACATAATTTTGAATTATTTAATTTTGTTTTGCTTTGTGGAACCCCGATGACACAGTAGGTTAGCCATTGGGTTGCTAACTGAAAGGTTGGCAGTTCTGATCTACCCCGTGGGCCAAGTAAGAAGGATATGACAGTCTGCATCTGTAAAGATTTGCCATTTTGGAAACTCTGGGGGGCAGTTCTGCTCTGTGCTTTGTGAGGTGGCATCGACTTGAAGGCAGTAGGCTTGGTTTTTGGTCATCTTTAGGGTGTATGACCAGGTCTTTGTCTCACAGAGCAGCTGAGTAAGTTTGAACCACTCACCTGTCAGTTAGTAGCCAAGTGCTTAACTGTAACGTTCCAGGGAAGCAGAAAGGTATGGTTGTTGTTATGTGTCATCAAGTTTTCTGCGACTCATAGTGACCCTGTGTACGACAGCTCTGAAAGCTGCCTTATCATGCGCCAATCTTGTCATTTCGGACAGATCTAATCCCATTGCTCTAGTAGTCACTGGGTCACATCCTGGCTGTTCCTCTCCTGTACTTTCTCTCCACCCTTCCAAGCATGATGTTTCTCTCTGAGGATTGGTTCCCGCCCCCCCCCCAGTCCCCGGCCACCTGCCCAAAGTATGAGAGATGGAGCGTCAAAATCCTTGCCTTCAGGGAACAAATTGGTTTCACTCTCTGTAGGACAGATCTGTTTCTTCTGGCAGTCCACAGTATGTTCAGCACTCTTCTCTAGCACTACAACCCAAAGGCATTGATGCTTCCTGTATCATCCCTTAGTTATTGCCCAGCTCTTTAATGCCTAGCAAGTAATTGTGAAGACCATGGCCTGAATCACACGCACCTTAGTCTCCAGACTGACATCATTGCTCTTCAGTACTCTAGAGAGTTCCATGACAGCAGACTTTCCCAATACAATTTGCCTTTTGATTTCTTGACTGCCAGTACTAAGAGTGCTGGTTGTGGAACCAAGCAAACTGAAGTTATCAACAATGTCAGTCTCTTCCCTGTGCATCCTGCTGCCCTGGATGTGCTCACCAGGCTATGCCAAGAAATCTGGAGGACAGCTACCTGGCCAACTGACTGAAAGAGATCTATATTTATTTCCATTACAAAAATAGTGGTCCAACAGAGTGTGGAAATTATCTAACGATATCACTGATATCACAAACAAACAAGATTCTGCTGAAGATTGTCCTGAAATGACTGCAACAGTACATCATCAGAGAACTGCCAGATGTGCAGGCCGGGTTTAGAAGAGGTCGTGACACTAGGGACATCATAGCCAATGTTAGATAGCTCTCAGCTAAAAGCAGAATGTACCAGAGGAATGGCTGTCTGTATTTCATTGACTGTGTAGATCACAACAAATTGTGGCTAACCTTTAAAAGAATGAGAATCCCAGAACATTTAATTGTGCTCATGCAAAACCTATACTTGGCCCAGAAAGCAGTAGTCAGTACAGAGCAGGGGAATGCTACATGGTTCAGGATCAGGAAAAGTGTGCATCAGGGATGTATCTTGTCTCCATACCTTTTCAATCTATAAGCGGAACAGATCATTTGGGAAGCTAGACTTTATGAGGAGGAAGAATGTGGCATCAGGATTGGAGGAAGATTCATCAACAACCTGCCTTATGTAGATGACACAACCTTGCTTGCTGAAGCTGAGGAGGACATGACATTTGCTGCAGAAGGTCAAGAACTGTAGGTCTTCAATATGGATTGAAGCTCAACATCAAGAAAACAAAGATTCTCACCACTGGGCCTATTGGCAGCTTCATGATGGACGGAGAAGAGAAAGGTGTAGAAGTTTACACTTCTTGTGTGTTTAGTAGCAACTGATTGATTATTGTCAAATAATTACAAAAAATTGCATTGAGAAGGCAAGCCACTAGCCATAGGCTTGTGGGGAAGTACAGGCCCTGGGCTACTTCAGGATCATGTGAGGGGCATCAAGCCTTGGTGGAAAGGTGGAGTGCCCTGGAGGCTGAACAGGGAGGCTGTTCCCATCTGCAGGACATAGGGATAGACAGCAGTCTAGCCCTGTGCAGCCAGCTGGGAAAGGGGTCCTTAGGGACACTGCTTCAGACCAGCAGAGGGTCTTGGACAAGGTGCACAGTGTCCCTATGCCGCAGTCCCTTCACCTTCACAAAAGGTGGGGAAAGCTAGTCTCAGACACATTCCTCCTTTTCATTTGTATTAAGACCTGCACCATGTAAGTAGCCCTTCTTGGGTCCGGTGGCTTCTCTAGTGGCTTGGTTGATACCTTGGGTGTCCTTGGGACCATGTTGAGTAGGTACCATATGCTCCCTGCTGCTGCATAGACAGGAGTTCTTTTCAGACCGGCAGCAGCTCTAGGGGCAAGTCTTCAAGGACTTGGAGGAGGAGATTTTGCCTTGGTTCCTTGAGGTTCATGCAGGATCCGCATAGTTGGTGAAGGTGCCTCTTAATCCAGATTAACCCAGGGTCCAGCTTGCCAAGCTTGGCCCACCACCTTCCCCTGGGGCATTGCAATTGACAGCAGAGAGGGGGCTGCTCCATGCTTGGTCATGAGACAGTCTGGAGACTAGGCTTCCTAGCTCAGCTGGACCCAGATCCCACTGGGCTCCTCCTCCTGCCCGAGGCCTGAGTGGGGTCAGCTGTGATATGTATCACTGCCCAGGCTTTCAGAGACAGGAGGATGAAGTCAACCAGCGAGTCACAGTCATGTGCGAGGCCAGTGGGAGTGGCGGGAGGGCTGACTTATAAAGAAAAGTCTGTCTGAGCAGGAACGGGTGCTCGGGGTGATGCGGGCTGATCTAGAAGTACAGGAGCCGCCTTACAGCTCTGCAAAACTGCCGAGACCTTCAGGCCCGGGAGCCCAGGTCAGTGCTGGGAACTGGGAATGGGGAGACCCCTGGGGGCTGCACATAACCACGACATCCAGTGCTGTCAGCATAGACCTAGGTGCACACAGTGCCCAGACACAGAACAGAGCAGGCAGCCACAGCCTTTTAAGACATTTGAAATACTTGAATTAATTGATTCTTTGAGAATCATAAAGATAGGAAAGCCCCAGTATTCTTCACCTAGTCTCCTCCAAGGCTTAAAAAAACCCCAGCCTACCTCTGGCAAGTCGATTCTGATTCACAGCAACCCTGAAGGATAGAGGAAGGCTGCCCCAGAGGGTTCCCATTTGAACTGTTGACCTTTCAGTTAGCATCCAAGCACTTTAACCACTATGCCACCAGGGCTCCTCCCACCTCAGGCTTACTTCTATGTAATTGTGTCATGGAGCTGCTGGCGGTAAGAATGGTGAATGGTGAACCAAAAGGCCAAAGGGTTAAATCTGCCTAGAAGATCCTCAGAAGAAAGACCTAGCCATCACTGAATAACCGCTGGAAACAGTTCTGATGCAGCATGCGCAGTATTGCCATGAGCTAAAGGCAGCTCATGACAACTGGCTGGTAACAGTGGTGACTCACAGGTAGAATGCTCCTATTCCATGCGGGAGACCCAGCTTAAAGTCCCAGTCCATGCACCTCAGGCACAGCCACCACTTGTCTCTCAGGAAAGGTTTGCATGGGGTTTTTTTGTTGTTGTTGTTGGTTTTGTTTTTCTTAACAGATGTAAACTATTTATTGAATATTTGCCACCAAATATTGTTAAATACATTATCTTGCAGCATGTCGCTTTCATGTTAAAATGTCAGAAACAAACACTAATATTTACAATTCTTTTAAGGAATGTTATATAATGACACATTAAGGCATAAATTTCTTTTGGCTTATAATTCTTAAAAGAATGGTAATAGCAAAAGTGATGCAAAATCTTCAGTGTGAGATTATGATTAAGCTGCATTTTACAAAAATATGGTGTAAAATGGCAATAATCCCATTCAACATCCTGGATTAGGTCCCTTCAGCAGGGACTGATAATTTATACAGTCAAACTTTAAAATTTACAGATAAAGGCTTGCATGTTGAAAGGTGGGTACAGGTATCAGCAGGCCTTCAGGCTAAGACTAAGAAGCAAGTCCTGGTGACCAACTGCTGAGAACTACAAAGTGAGACCTGATGGAGTGGTTCTGCTCTGACACCTGTGATCACTATCTCATGGCGTGGACTAGAACACAACTGGTCACACCTAGTTATACCTGGTTGTTGGCTTTTCTCTTCATTGGTGATGAATGACGTGGAGGTGGCTGACCAGCAGGTCCTCCTCCCCCCTGCCCTGGAACTCCGACTTCTGCTCTACTTATATAGCAGCTGGCTCACCTGTCCATGCGTGGACACGGCCCTGAGAAGCGTGCTCTGTATGTGGCAGCCTGGACTGGGTGCAGGGCCGTGACACACTTCCTGTCACACATTCATGGCACACTTACTCTGTGCCTCTCTGGGGCAGCCCCAGACCTCCTGCCTGGAGTCGGCTCCTGAACCAGGCCCTCTTGAGCAGGTGGCTGCAGCTGAGGAGCCCAGTACCCCCTTTCTCTTTGGACTCACCTGTTTGGAAGTATGGCCAATTGTTCCAAAAAGAGAAGCATGTTTTTTCCTCATTGATTTGCTGACACAAAACTGCCCACGGGACCCAGGAACCCTGGAGCGGCTTCACCAAGGAACACTCTGGAAGAGTGGCTATGTGATGTGGAAAGGGCCTCACTTTGGTGGTGGTGTGATATCTGCCAGTGACACTGACCCCATGGGGTTGGCCCAACCACATGGAACTTGCCAGGCATCTGAGGTGCCACTCATCTGGGACTCATGGTCCTGAGAGCTCACATTCAGGGATACAGGGCTGCTCAATTCCCTCCATAGCCCCCGTGTCTGGAGCACAAGGCAGACCCTTGCGAAGGGTTTGGGTGGAAGTGTGTCATTCGGAACACTATCTGCAAACGGCTTGGGTAGAAGTGTGTCATAGGGACCCCTATGAGGAGCTGGTGGCCAGAGAGCAGGCTGAGGGGCTGCTCTGTTCCTCTTTAGGCACCTGGATCTGGATCACAAAGTAGACCCACCTGCAAAGGGCTTGGGTAGAAGTGTGTCATTGGGACCACTATGAGGGGTTGGTGGTCAGACAGCAGGTTGCAGGGCCATTTTCTGGCGACAGAATCTGGAATTTGTGATGCTTCTTCCATGCCAAATGGGTGC